GAATGCCCAATGACTAAACTACCCTTAATGAATTTGACTTTAATTACTACTTTTGACTTTATCATGACCATTAATATGTTGGATCTAATGGTTCATAATCATTCTTGTTTCTTTCACTATCTACCATTCTCATATGATCCATTCCCATTTTACCAAAATATTTATTCTATTTAATAACATTGTAGTCAAATCGAATTTCAGAATAAACATTTTAAAATGACACTTCTTTATAAATGCAGATAATATAATTTAGTATTACAGTTACGTGCAACGTACTTGTTGTGCACTAATTTTAAATAGACATATTTTATGTAATAATTTTGAACAATTAATATTTCATATAAAATTTTCAATAAATTAATATAGTAAATTATATTACACATTAATTCTATATTTTTTATATATAAATATTATTTAATGAGCATTTTAACTTATAAATATTAACAAATATTTTATAAATATAAGTAACTTGTATTACATATTTATTCCGTATTTTTAAATTAAAAGCATTATTTAATGAGTATTTTTAATTTACGAATATTAATAAATATTGTTTACCCACGCATCGCATTCGTACTAGTTTAAATGACCACGCAATCAATTAGTTTAGGAGTTGTTTCAAGTGGCGTGGCTTCATGTCCATTCAAATAATATGTGTACGAATTTCATGCTTCTAACAGTGGAACACTATAATGTTGTTCAAACTTCAAAATATTCCTCTAAAAGCTATTAGGCAGCCAACTTCGAAAAGAGCACGCGTTTGCTTTAGATAAACTACTTTGAAAGTCAATTTTGTTTCTATTTTTAACCCCTATTTCCTTCGAAAAATATAGGCTAATACAATTAATTAATGATCTTAATCTAGTAATTAACCACCTGTACATATTAGAGTTGAATTAAATAAAATTCAATTTGGTGTCTCCCCAAGTATTAAACAAAAAGGGATCGAGTAGAAAACAAGATTCTTGTGTTGTGTAATAGTCCACGAAAATAAGAAGAAAAAAAAAAGCAATATACGCCAAACCTTTTGAATTCCTCTATATAGTATTTTATTTGTAATAACATCTATAAATTGGGTAAATTATGATGATTGTCAGAGGATCATAGTTAGGAATGAGACGATAAGCTAGTATATATACAATGGCAGCGAAACAAGGTAGTGCTAATATGGCGGTGGTGAGCAAAGTGTATTGTTCGACTTGCGATGAAATTCTTGTTGTAAGGAGGCGGCCGAACGTGACCAATGGCGGTGGCTTTGTGGTGGCGGATGACGGCCAGAGGCTCGTTTTCAGTGTCGACGGATGTGGGGTTATTGGCCGGAAACACGAGCTTTTTGTCAGGGATGGCAATGGAAATCCATTGCTTCTCATCAGGCGAAAGGTTCATTTTAATCAAACATAATAGATTAGTTTTATGTTTATATATATGGGTCCATTTTTTTATTTTTTTTTCTTGTTCATTTCTTTCATCATTTTCTTTTTTTTTTAATTGTTTATATTTTTTTTGACTTGGGTATATATAATAATGCAGCAAGGAGGGATTGTTGAAGCCTTGAGCTTCACAAAGCAATGGAAAGGCTTCAAGTACGACTTCTTAGGGTCTGAAAAGCTCGTTTTTGCTTTAAACGAGCACAACTCGTGCTTTACGAGCAATAATCCAATCAGAATCTTCGTAAAATCAAAGGAACGTTGTGATTACGGTTACTTTGATGTTCGAGGCGACTTCCCGGGAAGATGCTGCTCCATTGTCAACCCTAAGGGAGATGCAATAGCACAAGTATTATTTCATTATAATTAAAACCATAATTACACAATATATAATGCATAATAAAATGAAGTGCAATAAAGCTATAATTTTCTTTATTGGCAGATTGGTGTGGAGGAGGAGGTACAACAAGTGATGAGAAGCAGGGATTTGTACCATGTCCAAATTAAAGCTGGGATAGATCAAGCTTTTATCTTTGGAGTGATTGCTGTTCTTGACTACATATATGATGGGTCCACAAGATGCTAATAACCCAAAAAATATACTTCATTAATATAATAAAATAAATTTGGGCCATCCTTAGGGGTTTATTCTTTAGTTGCTTATTGTGATTTGCTTCTTTGATGTTTTTTTTTCCTACAAAGTTGTATAGCGTTCAAAATTAGGAAAAAAATTAAGGTCCTGTTACGAAATCATTCCGTCGGGGATTTTAACCGTTAGAATATCATGTAATCGTCAGAGATAGTTGATCTAACGGTTACAAATTTCAACGGAATGATTTTGTAACGGGACCATAGCATCTTCCAAAAGACATAATTGTAATAGGTTGTTATTTTCTTATGCTTCATTTTGTTCCAAATTGATGTTTTTGGTACATTTAGTATTTTCTACATAGAAGAGATGGTGACTTTATTTTACACATTGTTATCGGAATATAATATGAATTGCATGGAGTAGAAATTTAACTTGGAATTGGCCGTACCTAGTTTTTCAATGAGACACACTTTTTTTTTCACAAAAATATATAATTCGATAAAAGAAAATTATATTCTAAAAATTATTATAAATTAAAATGTGATTTGTGTTTACATATGAGTGTTGAACCATGTAAACTTATTTATGCA